ACGGTAAACGCTCATAAATGTTATTTTTATTTTGTCTATAATCATTTAATTCAAAGCATAAATAAATGGGAAATGATGAACACTCCACAGATTTTTATAATACATTTTTTTTGTCGTATTCGCTGAAACTTTCATTATATCCTGACAGTAGTACATGAGACTGATAAAAAAGTAATTTTTATAAACAGCAAAGCTTTCACACGTGGGAGAATGAGACTTGTGGTAAAATTAATTCATACTTCAGTCGACTATAAAACAAGAAAAAGACCAAAGATCACTTTTATTGCAAAGATGTTATAATTCTGCAGCCTGCTGAGAGAGAAAGAGACGGATCGGCTGTGACCGAATTGCCACATACGACTGAGGGTACCCAAGAGTGCCTGAGAGCCCCAGGGAGAATCAGGAGGAGAATCAGATTTTTTACTGTGAATGGGGGTTGGTGTGCTTAAAAAACATTTGATAGAAAGAGAGTCTCCTAGTAATATAGAAACAATTTTAAATTGCTTCAGGTATTTCCCAGCTGGCCGCTGCTGAACAGTGCATTAAATTAATTACACAGGTTTTATCCAATTTCTCCACAAACATAAGGAACATAAAGTATATTGTGTTTTATCAAGTTGCTGTCATGTCTTTCTTTTGGCGAGAAATGTGTTTTAATTGGTGTCAGAGAAATTAAAATTCAAAATATAAATGCTTTTTGTCCCATTTAGAACATAGGGTAGTGGTGCACTTCAGCCTCTGGTGGCTGAAATGAGTACAACAGCAAACAGAAATGATCCTGACAAGAAACAAACCCATTTTCACAGGTAAAAAAATATTTCAAACTTGAAAAAAGAAAAGACCACAGGGATTTTCACATTTTCTTGAGTCATAAACAAAGCAGAAAATTAAATTTAGACCAGAATCTGTATTCTCACTTGCCTCTCAAAGCTCCAAGTAAATTTAAATTGTTTGGCGCATTCTCTTTCTCCTCAACCCTTTAAGCAGTATCACTAACATACAGACTTCATTAATCATAATACTAAATCTTTATTATTAAAATGTATTAATTCATAATTTATGACAACAGAAAGCAGCCTCCATAAAGCAGAGCTGTGAGAGTTCATTTCAAACTTCAATCGAAGCTGCTAACATGTACCTGACCACCTTCCCCTTCAGTCAGTGTGTCCAACTGAGGTGGGAGGTGGGGTCTCTGACTCTCCAGCAGCCACCTTGTTAATCAAAATGTATGTCCCATTGGGTGTTAGCTAATTGGCTGCAGCAGAGGGCCTCAGAGACACTCAGAACTTGTCAGCTCATTAGCATGTTGTTAGCTTATTATTAGCTTAAAGCTTCTCTAGCTCCTCAGCTTGATAAATGACGAGGTAAACAATCAGTGGACCACTCAACCCACCATTCACACACACACACACACACACACACACACACACACACACACACACACACACACAGTAATCTGTTTCTTCCAGCTTGTTAGCATGTATCAGAGCTATTGTTAATGTTTTTTGATGGCCCTCAGAGGGCAGGACTTTAAAGGGGCATTCCACCAACCTTACACATACAGATCACATGGTTAGTCCTATCAATTTGTGAAGACAGTCGTATAATGTCTGATGTTCTGTATGGAGAGACCCAGTTTGCATGACAACAATTTTGGGATAAAACAGTTAACTTTTGTTGGCCTTTCATGTTAGCAGCTTCACTTGACAGTGCTGTTTCCACACATGTATTTTCATTCCCAATTTTCATTTAAAAGCTCATCAAATGAAATCAGATAAAAAATTTTTTGTTTTCCGTTGAATAACACTGATCATAATGATGATGCCATAAGGATGTCATCATTGTCAGCATGTTTTAACATAAAGCCACAGATGACCCACAGCCACATAATAATATGGTTTAATCACATGCAAAGCTTGACTGTCTCAGCAAGGAAAAATCGAAAGTGAAAAGTGTCAAACTTTCTCAAGACCATCTTCATTTTTCTCTCAACAGCTCTTTGTCTTTGTTGTCACCTCTTCATCAGTGATTCACAGCGCAGGTCCCACCCCCCTCTCTCCAATTTTTAACCATACCGATTAAAGCAGTCCCTTTTTATGTTTGTGTGTGTGCTTCAGTCTATAAAAGGAAAGAATAAAGTGAAAAGAGATGCCTGAGGAAAATCTGAAAAAGAAACAGGAGCTATAAAGCTGTCTGTCAGGGGAATGAGCAGGAATTTGGGTTCCCCCCATGATCATTAAAGCATATTTTTCATAATTTCCCTTCCTAAATGCATCTAAAACATGTTTACTATAAGGGACATGGTTATCACCCCATGCCTTTTTTAACTTTATTCAATTCAATTTAGTTCAATTCAATTCAATTCAATTCAATTCAACAAGCTCTTGTATGCCCAGGACTGTGCTGTAATTAGGAAACTGCCCAAAGATTAGTGATATAGCACTGTAAAACTTGATGAGTTAGATTAACTCAAATTGTTTGAGGAAACCAATTGCCTCAAAATGTTTAAATATAATGCCTCCAACAATTAAAGCATGAAAAAATATTTGATTTGACAGCAACAGGGATGAAAAACCTGCGGAACCCCTCCTACTTACACCAAGGGTGTAACAGTCTGCTGCTGAAGGAGTTACTTGGAACCCCACAGTGTCACAGCTGCAGCTTCAGCAATAGAAGCTTTGAACACCAACCACTCCGGTTCGATGTCTCAGGGTCTCCAAGAAGGCCGAATACTCTGCACTGCTGTTTGGTGCATAAGCACAAACAACAGGCGCCCCCCCAGGGGTGTGTGCAGTCCACACTCCCCCCTTCTCCCTCTACACCAATGACTGCAGCTCAAGAGACCAGTCTGCAAACTCCTGAAGTTCGCAGACCACACAGCAGGTATCCATCACTGTCTGGTTGGGATCGGCCACCAAACAGGACAGGAACAGGACTACAGCGGACAGTCAGGACTGCAGAGAGGATCATTGGTGGCAACCTGCCCTCCGTTCAGGACCTATACTGGTCCAGAGTCAGGAAACTGGGAGGAAACATCACTGCAGATCCATGACACCCTGGACACAATTTGTTCCAACTTCTCCCCTCTGGTAGGCGCTACAGAGCACTGTACGCCAGAACAAACAGACACAGGAACAATTTCTACCCACAGGCCATCACTCTGACAAACAGTTAACTCCAGACACACAGTGTCAGGAACAATCCCTGTACAATAACCCTAGGACTAAGATCCACTGTACCTGTAAACTATTTATTATTAATTCAGGCATTTTTTTTACACATAAATCCAATCATTCAAACACAAATACCAATGCTGTGCATATTGTATATGCTGTATGTACTGTACATACTGTCATATCCATCTACCTCGTACTAAAAAACACCTGCATAAGAATATTTACTTCAGCACCCTTTTCACTCGGTTATCCACTGTCTACAAATGTTATTGTTTTTGTTTGTTTATATATGTGTAACTTCACATAGTCGATTAAGTCTATTTTTGTTGTTCTGTTTATTTTTGCTTAGTCTGTGTATTTACATTGCGAGTAAAACTGGAGTCAAATCCCTTGTTCCAATTCTAAATTCCTAAAGGACGAGATCAACCAAATACCAAAATTCCTATTTTCTCACTTTGCCCTGGCGGTATCTGCCATGCAGAGACGACTCTGAAACTTCTGCTGCCATCTCAGTGGATTCATAGCATCAAAAATGACAATACAAAAGAAATGGACCATAGTGAGGGTACATTTTCTAAACAAAAGCCAACAGTCTGAAATGCTTCACTTGCTCCAGTTATCTCCACAGAATAAACAGCTTTAACACCATTGATTTAATTATATCTGAAATAAGTCTCCAGCTGTCACTAATAAAGGCAACAAGAGCACAAAAAATAATAATGTGTGATTTTCCATATTTAAGGATAGGTTTGTTATTTTAACTTTGTTTCTTGTCAACAAATTGTGACAAAAACACCACAGTTTAGAAGCTCTTTTGCTGAAATTTCATTTCACATTATAATGCTGCAATTAACAGTAACATTTTTCCCTCTGCAGTTTGATAAGTTAAAACACAGTTAATCTATTATCATTATTGCTCTTTTAGGTTTCTGTACATTATTTGGTACATATATTAAGAAGAACAAACAAACCTGACTTAAAAACTGTCAGTGGGTCCATTGATTGGATCTTGTTCAGTTGAGTCTTTGCTGTTGTCTGAGAGTTGTGCGGTTTTAGCTTGGAAATGACTCCCAGAAGTGAAATCATGAACAGAAGATACGGTCCCCCTGAAGTTCACCTAATCAAAAACTGACGATTGACTGATTGTAAGAGTCAATTTGGGAAAAAATGCCACTGAAATTATGCTGAAGTTCTGTTAAGAATTGATGTACACTGAGGGCCTCTGTAGGCAAATCCAACAGTGTCCCTGAGCAGCTGGTTCAGAGTGAACAAAGCACAAGATTTAGTCAAACTGGTGTTCTAGATTTAGCTGATACACTCATCCACACAGACAGAGACTGATGCTGCAGGTCCAGTGTGTAACATTTAGGAGGAGACCTGAAATATAAGAATCGTTGTGTTTTTGTTACCTTAGAATTTGCCGTTGATATTGCCTTCCATAGATTGAACCACCATGTTTCTACAAGAGCCCAGAACAGACAAACAGCCTGTTCTCAGTCCCAGGTCATGAAATACAGATGCAAGTGTTCAGTTTGTTGCAATCTGCAACTTCACCACTAGATGCCACTTAATCCTACACACTGGTCATTTTAGTACTATACCTTCACACATACCAATCATAGGTCAAAACGTTAGTTAGTTAGTGTTAAAGTTAAATTTGGCTGAATTATGGAAGCCAGAAGTGGCACTAAATGGAGAGCCAAATGCTCACTAAAAAGAGTCGTAATTCCCATCACTACTCCAAATGCAGTAACAGGAAGAAATCCATTTGAACTGTTGTTTCTGTCTCTTCTGAATTTCCTACCCCGTCTGTGGCCCCAAGCCTACTGGTTCCTACTGAATACATACACTTGTAAAAACTAACCAATATATAGTTTCATATTTAAAAAAAGAAAGAAAAAAGGCTCATTGGCTGCTGTAGTACCACAGTGTGACCCAGTGATGTGTTTCTAATAGTTTTGGACAACAATGGAGCTCTATGGCACAGAGGAAGATATATATATAATATATCAGACTGCGAATACACACACAATACTTGTTTGTAGGATACATTGATTGTTGGTTTGGGTCCTATCATGGGATTTGCTGACAGTAAGAAATGTACATTGTATTGGCAGCATTGTCATTTCAAACGACACCAAGTAATCCCATAATTTCCCATAATTTGTTTCAGTTCATAAATGTCCTTTTTCACCCCCCTATAGCAAAGACAACTTCAAGATGCCCTCTTCAGTCCATTGTTTCCTCTTTAACGAGGTCAATTAACCATACAGGTGTCTTTTACCACAGGCCGCTACCAATGAGCAATCAGTTCCCACAGCACTGAGAACCATTTAAAAGCAGCTGTTGTAGATTGAAGCCACTACGGAGCAGCTCCTGCAGGTATGTGTTGGTTTGTGGTTGGGCTTTAGGGCTTTAACTGCCATTGTTGGTGTAATAGTGTGGTTAACTATAATTTTAATCTTTGTCATCCTTTGAATGTGCAGTCTTTTGGTGAGAAGTTCCAAACCCTTACTGTATCTGCAATTTACCCACTTACCTGTGCTACAATGAGGTAAGGAAGTTACTGTGTGTTCTTAAATGGCTACTGAACAACTTGTGATTTGACAGCCGTGTCTCTACTTGCTGAAGGGTGCTACTGGTTTCATGTCTGCTGATCAGGAGCGTTACCTGTGGCCCTGCGTGGAAAGGTAAGAATACTGAACTTAAATTCTATATCCTGTGAACCATTTTAACTCCCTTAAATGAATGCTGGCCCCATATCAAACCAAATCCTGTTTCTCCCTAGGCTCGAGCAGTGATGATCCAAGCTTTAGGCAGCGGCCACTTTCTCCTGGGTATTGGTTCAGTGGCACAGGGGTGAGTTCTGACCCGGGCAGCAGCTCCTCTCTACCAAGTCTACCCAACCCAAACTCTGTCAAAGCTGCTCAAGATGCCACTAACATGGCTCCGTCATTCGGTGGCTACGCTAATGTCTGGGATGGCGGCTATAGCAACCCCAAGGCAGGCAATTATGAGGTCTCTTATGCCGCTCAACCTAGCGGGTATTACGGCAGTGCTCCAGTTGGTGACTATGCTAGTGCTTATGTAGGGGACAGTTCTTACGGGTTCAGTGTGTCCCCTCAAGATGAGAGCCAGAGCTCTGGATCTGCTACGGGCACTGAGTTCGGCGACACAAACCCCGAACCAGTCTTCAGTGACGTGTCTGATCTGGAGCCACTGTACTCCTTCAGCTCTCGTTCGCGCTACCAGCGAGGAAGGGCAATGTTGGCTCAAAGCCGCTACACCCCAGGAGAGGCCGTTCTCCCCATGGCAGCAGCCAGACGCAGTAGTAAAACCCCTTCAAAGCAAAGCAGCCCTGCTAAAGCACCACCCAAAGGTGGCTTCTAAAGGTTGTTCTGGTAAGGCCTAATTCCCTCAATCTCTGATCAGTGTACTATAATGGATTACCTTAAATGGTTGCCCCACTAATGTCTGTGCTTTTGCAGGTTTAATGTCCCAGATGACTCATTGATGATGCCAATAAATTCTAACCTTCACTGTTCGTCTTGGGTTTTACTTTGAACATTTCCACAGTATTACTTTATTACACAGATTTTCCAATGTCTAAAACTTTGCAGTAACAGTCATGTAGACTAAAGCAGTGCAAATTGTGATCATTGTGGAACAGTTGGCTTCTCACGAACATTGAGCAGTATTGGATGCTAGCTGTGACCCTAATGTAATGTATCACAGGGCTTCAAAGAGGCAGAACAGTCAGTGTAGGTTAACTAGCTATTGGCACATTTACTAAATCCTTAAGGGGGAGAAATGTCCTATGGCTGGGAAGCAAATACTAAAAGACACAAACAGCAGTCAGTGCTCTGCCAGTAAATAAACAGCCACAACTATTGTCTAAGGTACAGGTAATTTACAATGTTGCATTAAAACTTGTATACCTGACAATTATTTTACCTGGAGTTATGGCAGAACCACTAATAATACATACACAATATCTCAGACACACAGTACCCAAAAAATACAGTTTGTAAAATAAACAAATTCCAAATGTCCAGGCGCTTCAATCAGTCCCCTGATTGGCCACTGCCCCAACGGGTAAATCATAAGTTATCTCGGAACACTTTACAAATAGAGTAGGTCTAGTAGATGGGTGGTAAAGAGAGGACAGAAACAGAGATTAAAGGTGCACAGCAACAATTATACTGGGGGAAAAAATGACTAATAGCCACAACAATGGGGGATGAATGATATAGTAATATTAGCAGTGGGGCTCAAGCAGGACCATGGCAGCAAGCACCACCATGATCCATGAGAACCTGTATGATGAAAGCTCAAGAACTCCGGGGAAGAAGTGAAGTTAGTAACATGCATTAATGGGAAATGAATGTGTGCAGAAAGAAAAGGTGAAGAAGAGAGGAGCTCAGTGCATCATTGGAAGTCCCTGGGAAGTCCGCCAGCTGTCTAGGCTTATAGCAACATAACTATTAATTATTAATATTAACTAACTATAAGCTTTATCAAAGAGGAACGTCTTAAGCCTACTCTTATTTGTGGACAGGGTGTCTGCCTCCTGGACCCAAACTGGAAGCTGGTTCCACAGGAGAGGAGTTTGGTAGATTAGATTACATTGAATTACATTTTATTCATCCCACAACAGGGAAAGTCTCTTGTCACAGCAGCAAGTAAGTAATTGGAATGAAAAAAATAAATACAGATAAAAAGACAGATATAAAAGTTATGGTGAATAGAGGTGGTAATTGGAAACAGAAACTACAACATGATCAGGTGAAGCAGGTGTTGTAGAGTCTGACAGCGGCAGGGATGAAAGACCTGCGGAAACTCTCCTTCTTACACTGAGGGTGTAACAGTCTGCTACTGAAGGAGCTACTCAGGGACCCCACAGTGTCATGTAGGGGGTGAGAGGTGTCCATGGTGGATGTCAGCTTCACTAACATCCTCTTCTCACCCACTTCCTCTATGGAGTCCAGAGGACAGTCAAGGACAGAGCTTGCTCTCCTGATCAGATTATTTAGTCTCTTCCTGTCCCTGAAAAGTCTTCAGGAGAGCCCTGCACACTCCGAAGGATCTCAGTCTCCTCAGCAGGTGGAGGCGACTCTGGCCCTTCTTGTAGAGAGCATGGGTGTTGTCAGTCCAGTCCAGTTTGTTATTGAGGTGAACACCCATGAATTTATAATTATCTACCACCTCAATGTCCAATCCCTGGATGTTCACAGGGGGGAAAAGTGGGATGTTTTCCTCCTGAAGTTAACAATCCTCTCCTTCATCTTGCTAGTGTTTAGCTGAAGCTGGTTGAGCTCACACCAGCTGACAAAGTCCCTGATAACAGTCCTGTATTCCAGTTCGTTCCCCTCAGAAACGCATCCAACAATGACTGTGTCATCGGAGAACTTCTGGATATGGCAGTGTGTGGTGTTGTGGGTGAAGTCCGAGGTGTAAAGGGTGAAGAGGAAGGGAGAGAGCACCGTACCTTGAGGGGCACCTGTGCTGCAGAGCACCATGTCAGACACACAGTGTTGGAGCCTCACATACTGTGGTCTGTTGGTGAGATAATCTATTGTCCATGCAGCCAGGTGTTGGTCCACTCCCACACTTTCCATCTTCACTCTGAGCAGTGATGGCTGGATAGTGTTGAAAGCACTTGAGAAGTCAAAAAACATGACCCTCACAGTGCTCCCGCTGTCCTCCAGGTGTAGCAGGGAGTCTCAGGGGGGTGGTGAACTGTTGAGGGGAGGAGGGGGCTGGTGGGGGGTCAGGTGTTGAAGATGGCAAGCTGAGGAGTGGAGGGGCAGGGGGAGATGGCCAGGGGAGGTGTGAAGTGGGAGCAGGGTGGGTGAGGGAGGGAGATCCTGATCTTCTGCCGGAGATCCTTCTGGACTCAAGCTCCCCTTTGTCCCCTCGATCTAAAGACCATCTTCTTCTCATTCAGCAGGGCCTTAAATCTCTTTTTTAATTTTTTTTAAATATACTGTGTTAATCCCCAGTTGGGGAAAATCTTCTTTGCACTCTATTTTATTTTATTTTTATACACACACACAGGCCTGCACATACAGGGGCTTGTGGACATACAAACAGGGAGAGAGATGGTGGAGTGATGGGCTCGCCTTGTTAATGGCACCCATAAGCAGTTTATTGGGGTTAGGTGCCTTGCTCAAGGGCACCTTGGCAGTGCACAGGAGGTGAAGCTGGCACCTCTCCAGCTACAAGTCCACACTCCATATTGTCTGTGGGATTCGACCTGGCGACCCTCTGGTTCCCAAGCCAAGTCCCTGAGCTACTGCCGCCCAAATCTCGCCCAATCTCGGAGGTCACCCAGGGTTTGTTATGGAGGGAAACATTGTACCAACTTGGAGGGCACAGTGTTCTCCACACAGAAATGAATATAGTCCGCAATGCAGTGCGTCATACTGTCAATGTCATTGCCGGGAAACATTGTTGAAATCACTGGTGATGAGGAGGAGGGATTGGGGGTGTTGGTTTTGAAGATGGGAGACGACAGTGTGGATCTGATCTGTAGCTGCAGTCGAGGGAGGGATGTACACAGTTACAGCAATAACGTGTGAAAACTCCCTCGGAAGGTAGTACGGCTGCATGCTAACCGCTAACAGCTCCAAGTCTCTGGTGCAGAGTTGCTCCTTAACACTGATGTGTCCCGGGTGGCACCATCTTTTCATTCACAAACACAGCGTTTCCCCCTCCCTTCTTTATACCGCTCTGCGTTGCTTTCCTAAGCAAAAGCACTCACACGGTGCCAACATTCTACAATGCTTTCTAGCTTGGTTTATGACCAAATCGCCACATAACCACATATCCCTGTTAAGATCAGTGGTTCCCAACCTGGGATTAGACAAAACAAAATACAGACAGAGAATTGTAGAAAAAGTTCCCTAAACAGATGATGATCAGGCAAAATCACTCGTTTTACAGTTTTGAATATAATATGAAATATGTCACTTCAGGGGACATCAGTTTACTAAATCAGTGGAGCTGTGGTGGAGCAGGTGAACAGTTTTAGGTTCCTGGGAATCAGTATCACAGAGAACCTGTCATAGTCATCTCATGTCATGTTTCATTTTCTGTATTGTGTGAAATGTGAAATAGGTTCACAGGTAATCAAAATCACATAGATTCTATCTGGCATATGATGTTGATTCCATTGATTTTTAAAACAAAACCCATTACGTGTAAAGACATCTTTTACTGATCAAAATGGCCTACCCATAAATGATGACCTTGTATAATAGTGAGGCTAAAAACATTTGTCCTGAGTAGAGAACTAGAGGAGAAATCATGGGTCCTTGAAATCCTCATGAATGCACACAGTGCATTTCATGGAAATCTTTCCATAAGAAGTCAAAGTTCTTGAGTCAAAGTTGAAATTTGAACCTGTTGGTAGCAATAGAGGTAAAAGTCAGAAAATCAGACAGGATTAAAGAGCACTTTTCATTTAAATCCATTTATTATATATCTCTAAATACGTCACTATGGACTGAAGTAGGCTGAACAAGTAGCAACTTGACATAGTCATCCTTCGGCTTTGCTGCGCTAACAGAAAAAAGAAAAACAAGAACCCCCCCTAAAACACATTGAGGTTGTTGGATTGTGGGTATCCAGAGGGAGGGCTGCCCCCTGAACAGAACAGAATAGAATAGAGAGCAGTGTGTCCTGGCCTGTCCTAAGCTGCTTCAGTCCAGGTTAAGCGTGAGTAATCTGTGTTGGCTCACAGGCCCCCAATAGGCCCTGGGCCCCCACTCCCTGCCCTGTCCTCTCTGCTTAATCTGCCTCTCACTACCTGCCCCCCTGCCCTGCCCGGCTCTCTGTCCCCACCTCCCACCACACCATTGTCTCTGTATTATCAGTGCAACCACATTGGTTCTCAAACTATGGTACGTGTACTGCTTGTGGTACCACTTGTGGTACACAGAGGAATGTCTGGAATTTAAAAAAATAAAATAATTAAAAAACATATAATACTATTCAAAGACTACACATTTTGCAAGCAATGATCAGGCCTTCACCGTCCATGTATCGGGTTTGCTGAGGTCACATTATGTGCCAGCACATCAAGCGTAGACCACACCATGAAAATTGAACATAAATAACATGATGATTCCCATACATGCCTTACGTCCTGTTTCCAGTAGGTGGCACTATTACTATGACTGATTATTGGCATGTAGATGTATTCTGGGCGGAACACTTATCAAACGTGAAGTTTGGTCGAAATTGTACAAAGTACAGTTTTAATTGTTAAAGTCTTTAGATTGTACTGACCAAAGTTGAAGTTGATCCAATCAATTCCCTAGGAGTTCATCAAAACAATCGCCAAAAATTACCACTTTATTCAAAATGGTTGACTTCCATATGAGGCTTTGGTACTTGAGACTTTTTTTTATGTCTGGTCATGATACACACTCGTACCAATGTTCATTCTCAACATGCTTTTGGGGCGCTGTTGAGTCATTTTCCCATGCCTGTGTCCGAGACCCATATCATGTGTAAATTTTTGCCACTGTTGAAT